AACTTTCTTGGCTCGTGGATCTAGTTTGTTTTCCTTCACATGAAAGTAGGCATTGCGTCCAAACACTCATAGCTTATCATAGTCCTAAGTTGGTTTTCCAGACCACACTTCAATGGGTGTTCTACCCTCCAATGTTGTTGATGGTAGTCGATTAAGCACATGACATGCATAGCTTAAAGCTTCTGCCCAAAAACTCATTGGCAACTTAGCTTAAGGTAGCATGCAACGAACTTTCTCGAGTAAGGTCCTATTTAGTCTTTCTGCAATCCCATTCTGGTGTGGAGTATGTCTGACACTGAAATGCCAAGTAATCCCTTCATTTTTACACAATTTGAAGAAAGGATCAGATGTATATTCCCCTCTATTAGCACTTCTCATTATCTTAATCTTATTTCCAGTCTTGTTCTCCACCATGTTCTTCCATTCCAGAAAGATGTCAAAAACCTAATCATTTCGTTTCATCATATATATCCATGATCTGCGAGAATAATCATCAATAAAAGATATAAACCATATTTTTCCACCTAAAGAAGCATTCTTTGCAGGCCCCCAAACATAAGAGTGAACATAGTCCAAAATCCTTTTCGTTTGACTAACAGCTGAGCCAAATTTCACCTTTGTTTGTTTGCCAAGAACACAATGCTCATAGAACTCTATCTTTCTAGTTTTTGATCCTTTTAAACACCCTTGTTGATCAATCCTTGCAATTTTTTTTCTTCTACATGTCCCAACCTCATGTGCCATAATGCAGACAAGTCACTTTTATCACTTTGCACTTCATCAGCTACCATAGCCACTCCATTTTCCAAAGTTTTTCCTTGTAACATATAAAGTAAGCCATTATGAGGCCCTTTCATTATGACAAATGCTTCTTTAGCAACTTTGAGCACGTTGTTATCGGAGTAAAACTTGTAGCCTTGTGACTCGATAGTGAGATCAAATTTTTCTTCAGATTTAGGATGTACCTTACACCATGCAATTCTCAAATCACATTATCATGATGCTTGATCTTGATGCTTCCAATTCCTTGAGTTGTACATGGGTTATCATCTCCCATATACATAGTTCCATTCATAACTTTGAAGCTTGAAAACCAATGCCTTTGAGAAGTCATGTGATAAGTACAACCAGTGTCGAGCACCCACTCTTTCATATAATCCACAATGCTCGATGCAGTTAAGGCATAGACAAAATCCTCATCCTCAACTTCAACCATATTTGCTTATGAGTCATCCTTCTTATTTCTAGTATTTTCTTTGATTTGAGGGCAGTCATTCTTTTAATGTCCTTTTTCATGACAAAAAACACACTCATCTTTGTCTAAGAACTTCCTATTCTTTCTTTGAGACTCCTCTAGTACGAGACTTACTATTTTTCCTGTATGAACCTTTCGTTTCTTTCGATCTTCCTTTCACTATCAAAGCTTCAGAGTTATTCCTTTCTTGCCTGTCAAGGTGACTCACCTCATGATTCACAAGAGCATTTGAGATTTCATCATACTTAATTGTCTACCTGCCATAAATCCAAGTAATCACGAAAGGCTCATAAGACTCAGGCAATGAGTTCATCAGGATCAAGACCTTGTCTTCATATTTAATTATCTCTTCAATATTTGCCAATTCAGCTGGAAGCTTGTTAAACTCTTCTAGATGGCTAATCATCTTCGTGCCCTCTTTGTATTGGAACTTGTACAACTTGCTCTTGAGATGCAGTCGATTTTCTACACTTTTCTTCATATATTTTGTCTCCAATGCAGCCCACAATTCCTTCGCAGAAGTTATGTCCATCACATCATACTTTTGTTGCTTTCCCAAGTATAGCCGAATTGTAGAACATGCATGAGCATTCAATCTTTCCCATTCTTCTTTTTTCATCGCAAACGGCATGTCTCCTAACACAACAACCAAACCTTGTTGTATCAGGACATCTCAAACCTCACATTGCCACATAGCAAAGTTGTTCGTTCCATCAAATTTCTCAATTTCAAACCTAGCACTCTGAACTGTCGTCTTGATTTCATATTGCCAGACTTTTCTTCAACATCATCACCACTAGTAGAATCATCAGTCTTCGTCATTACTTGATAGTCACAACCTACATAAGAACTTAAGCTCTTGATACCACTTGTTGTAAACTAAACCAAAAACCAATCAAGTAATAAACAAAACACAACGATTTCAGAGTTCCTCTAATATAGGAGCACCTCTCTAACAACAGAAGCTTTATTGGTTACCAACAAATACAAGACAACTCACAAACATAAAGTGTTCTCAAGCATACAAACTTATGCCTCTCACAACTTTCACACACAAAACTCTATCCCACATCCATCTATTTATACTAATAGATGTCATAGGTTTAGACAAAGTCCCTATAATATATGAAACCAAATCCTATAATAAAACCAAATCTCAAACCAACTACGAAACACAAATCCAAATATCTTGCATCCAAGATATCCTAATCCTTTTTAGTTTAGGCATGTTGATTTAATGTCAAATCCAACAATATTTCATGTTCAAAATTAATGTGGTCACTTTTCTTCCTTGACATTGAATGAATGTTTGATTGTATTAGCAAAACTATCTATATGAATCTAGATTAATGATTATCCATATGTTTTATGGACTTTCGATTGAATATAACAAAGGTAATACTTGTGTTGCTCGTGTTGCCCGCTGTGGTTCTGGTAATCATGGTGTCCACATAGGCCCTGTAAGCCCTCCTAGTGTTCGCCGAGTTCATGCTCCTGGTGTTCGTAGAGGCCCCGATGGCCCTCGTAGTGTCTGTAGAGGACCAGCTCCTAGTGACCGCATAAGACTAGGAGAATTATCACCCATATGGTGTGCATGAAGGGGTTTTCAAACATACGTCTGTTAAAGGCGATGCTCTCGTCACTAAAAACATGGTCCCTGGTGGCCAGGCAGGAATCGACAGCCCAAGAGCCTGAAGGCTGTGTGACGTGTGGTTGATGTGCGGCATCGGTGCATGCGCCGACCTTGACATCTCATCATCCTCATTCGACATGTTGCTGTTGAAGCAGAGGCTTCCGGCGAAGTTTTGCACCACCAGTTGTTGCTGCTGCGGCTGAGCTGTCGACTGAGACTGCTCCGTTTGCATCATTTTCTCTTCAACCTCCTCTACTTCCTCTTCATAAAAACAAAAACAAGCCATTTTCGTGAAATTCTTTATATTTTCTTATCTCTTTCTCTTTTGCTTTTGCTTTTGGAATGATGGGGTTTTGAAATTTGTGGTGGAAGTGCTCTGTTTTTTTTTTTTCTTTTTGTAGAGGTTATGAATGGCTGAGGCTAGGAGTTGAGAGGCTGGCGTTAAAGGGTTTTAAAGAGTCAAGCCAGCAACTAATTGTGTTCTTTAGTTCCACCGATGCCGCATGCAAGGCCATGGTTGGGCTCCTTGAGTTCTAGGGATTCCAAAAATATTATTTTTGAGCTTGATTTGTTGAAGGTTTGAAGAGGAAGGAGGAAGAGAGCTCACGAGAGTGAGCTGGAAAAGAGGGAGAGAAAGAAAGAAAAAGGAAGAGAGAGATAGAAAGAAAAGAGAGAGAGAAGGAGAGAGAGGAATAATCGGTCAAATGATGGGAAAAAGGGAAAGGGTGATGGGGATGTCTGATGGATTGGGTGAGGAAAAAATACTAATATTTTATTACTTATTGCCATGGTTATTCAGTTTTAGGGTGGAGATGCAAAATGCAATTATTGTTCATTAAAGGTAGTTACTGTTCACTGGGTGAATTCAATAATGAGTTGCCTTAGGGGGCCTTTGCAACGCTGGAGTTGCTCTGAGAAGTTTATGCAGTTTTGTAACCGAAAAAAAGGTCTGGACTATATGGGGGCGTTTGTTTCACCTCCTTAGGAGGGACTGGACTGGACTGGACTACAGTCCCATGTTTGATAGGTGTTGGGACTAAGTTAAGTGGGACTAAAAGGGACTTGTGTGGACTACGGGGCTCGCTAGGTAGTCTTAGCGAGACCCCTCAAATACCACCGGATTGCTAAGATCGTTGCTCTGCTCGACTCCTCAGCGCTTTGCTCGACTGCTCACCCTGCTCGACAACCTCACCGGACCATCCCAGGACAACCGCCGCGTCCTCGTAAATCACCGCTCTCATTTCCTTCTTCCTCACTGCCTCGCACATTAAAAAATCCAAAACATCCAACCCCAGATTCGAGTCCACAACCTTCGACAACCCACAAACAGAGACAAATTTAACAAAGAAGACAGAATCCAAACAAAAAAACAGCAGCAGAGAAGACAGAATCCAACCCCAGATTCGGAGTCCACAACCTCCGAATTCTGCAAAATGAAGAATCGAGCTTCCTTTTTCTCGTTTGTCCACCGGGTCTTCCTCTTCGATTTGTCCTCCACCGAGTCTTCCTCTTCGTTTTTCTCCTCCTCTGGTGGACAAGCCCGACGATCCCATGAACAAAAACCAGAAAAACGAAGCTCAATTCTTCATTTTGCAGAATTTTTTTGGCAATTAATCAAAAAAAAGAGGAAAGGGACGGAGAGTGTGGGACGGAGAGAACGAGGAAGAAAATGATGGAGGCTTCCAGAGAGAGGGAGAGTATTATTAGAAGAAAAAAAGATAGAATTAATTAATATAATATTATTAGATATGAATTAAAAAATATAAAATATTGTAGTTTGTTATTATCCTTCTTTTTAGTCCGACACTGCACCAAACGCTTCACTAAATCAGTCCAGTTTAGTCTAGTCTAAGCCAGTCCAGCTTAGTCCCTGAAGCTAATCCAGTCCGAGATAGTCCGGTGCAACAAACGCACCCTATATGCATATTCAATATTCTTCCAAATATTATATTTATATGAGCCCCTTCCTACACATCCCAACTCGGTTGTGCACGAAGTAGGATTGATGTATACTACTATAGAGCCAAAAAAGAGGAAAAAATAGAACTGACCTATAAACAATCACTATGTGGTCAATACATGTTCACTCTATGGACAATACGATATAGTGCTATGTTACCCCGCTCTGTGAACAGTGGAGTATGCCTTTATACATGCAAGTTTCTTCTTGATTACCTGTTTAATAATGTATGGAACTCCCCTTAATCTGTGGAACCATGCAGTGTGCCTTTCCATGCGAGTTTCTTCTTTTTATTTATTTGAAAGGATGTAATTAATTAAGCTTGATGGCCTAACTGAGCCCTTTTAGTTTATATATGTTGCATTATGTAAAAGAACATTTTGCAGATAGTATGCAGTTATTTTTGTGTGTGTATAGAATTGATTGTAATTACTTTGGAACTATTTCTTTTTTGTAATATTATTCAGAATGTAGATGGAACCAGGGTGGAATATAGGGTTTGGAACCCCTTTCGTTCAAAGCTGGGAGCTGCAATCTTGGCCGGCATTGACTATCATTGGGATTGTGAGTTCCTCCATATTGGACAATATTATAGACATGTGGAGCAGATTTTATTATACTTAATAGTCTTAGAAGTGGTGTATGCGGTTGAAGTTTCCCCTAGAGGTGGTAGGGACTTGGTAAACATGGCAAAGAAGAGAACTAATGTCATACCAATCATCGTACACGCAAGACACCCAGCCAGATATTGGATGCTCGTCAGCCTTGTAGATGTCATATTTGCAGATGTTGCTCAGCCTGATCAGGTTTTTCTATACACTGAATCACCAATTCAGTGTTAGATTTTATTTATATACAGAATTGCTCTTTTGATTTTCATACTTAATGCTTTCTCATGGTTACAATCTTGATATGCCATAGTTCGCACAAGGGTTTTGCATTAGCCATATATGTTGCATTTGTTATATATAAACATGTTAAATCACCATTCAAAATTATTTAGGGACCATTTGAAAATCATTTCATTTACTTTTATTGTCCTTTCTTTTAAAACTAAAAACTTTTCTGGTAACTATGTTCAATTGAAAACAAAAAAATCAAAAGCTACTTTTTTTTTTATATTATTTTTTAGTTTTTAGAGACATGAAAACAAAAAATTGATATGAAACAGCCTTTACAAGATCAAATTTTGTTTAGATAAATTGTTTCTACTAATATTTTAGTAGTAGTAGTTAATTTTTTTAATGCTCTTTCAAATAATTTGAAACATTTTTCAAAGTTTACATGTGGATTGTGGCACGAAACTGTTGATTTTCAAAGCTTGAATTATTCTCGAATCTAGCATGTGATGTACTCAGGAATTCCCTTATCCAAAAATAAAAGGATTCAATACTGAGTATTTGATGTTAATTTGAGTCGATTATGTATTTGTTTCTCTTTTTTCATATTGAAAATCAAATTTTCTTTAAGAACAAATTAATTAAATTTAACGTATCAATTTTCTTTGTTCTTTTACTTTATCTAGAGTGTGACAACTTTTTGACTTCTTGTCACGTTTAAACTTTTTGTCATGCTTTCAACAATATCTATTCGTGGATGTTGCCCACACTACTACAATATTAGCTTTAAGTGTCGGATGATGGTGGCGGTTAACGAGTCATTCTGTCGGATAAAAGATTTTTGACACATAATTTAGTGTGTGTCGGATAAAAGTACATTTATGTCGTATATAACCGACAAAAATTACTGTCGGTTACCACCGACACAAAATATTCATAACCGTCAGGAATTTTGAATATTTTTTTTATGTATTTTGGCGGTTTGGAAGTTCATGGTGTCGGTTATGAACTGACAGAAAGTTACTACTTTATTATTTTAGCATTCTAGCCGTTATTATTTGAATTTTCTGTCGGTTAAAACCGACAGAAATTTAATAGTTTATTATTTTTATTCTCTCCTTCATCTTCAACCCGCAAGTTCATCTTCAAAAGTTTTTCAATTTCATATTTCATTCTCTTCTTCATCTTCAACCTGCAATCTTCATCTTCAATCTTCAATCATTTTCTACTCTTCATCATCAATCTTTTTGTTTTCTTCATCTCATCTCACAGTAAGTTTTTCATTTCTTTTACTTTCATACTGTTTATTTATTTCTTCATCAAGCAGTTCACCTTATTCTTCTCTTTATCTCATAGTAAGTTTTTCATTTTCTTTTGCTTCCATACTTTTATCTTCTATTTGTTTCTTCATCAAGCACTTCATGGCTTATTTTTATTTTATGATTTGATTTTGCAGGAGCTTTATTTAGGTGGTTGACTACATAAAGAGTAGATCGACGATAGAATTCGTCAATAGTTCAGGTTTTATTACTGAACTTCTTTGATGTTTAAATTGTTTGTTTAACTAGTAAGATAAATTAGGAATATTTGTGTTCCATTACCTTATTTGATTATTTATTTAGAGATTTTAATTTAATTAGTAATATAAATTAGGAATATTTGTGTTCCATTACTTTATTTGATTTACTTAAATTGTTATAGAGAAATTGAGATAAATATTATTTGTAAATATTTATGTTAAATTGACAATATTTAATATAGCATAAATTGGTAATATTTAGTAATATAGGTATATATTATGTTAACTAATTAAATATTTCACTCTAATTGCTATGAGGATATACAAAACTTAAATTTAATAAATAATAAAAGAGTGTAGATAAACATATTTTTGTTAACCTTTTATTGTTTTTTTAATTTGTTTTACTGTGATAGGTGTTGGAAATTAAATTGCAATTGTGATAGTTCGAGGTTGAAAGATAGGGATTGGAATTTCTAATAGTTATGCCTACATGATAGGGATTGCAAGATTGTAGGAATCTTAGTTTCAACGTAATATTTGCTCCCGTACAGTAGTAAAACATGGAAAAGAGTTGGTTGACAATATCGCGAAATTTGGAAGCGTATACAGATGGAATTAATTTGTTTTTGGATCAAGCAGTTGCGAATGGTGTTGGCCCTGATAAGTTTAGATGTCCTTACAAAAGATGTTGTAATCGATATACTTTTGTTAGAAAAACTATTGTCGAACATCTTGTGTTGTATGATATGGATAAAGATTACAAAAATGCTTCGTGGCGACATCATGGGGAATCTTTCATGGGAGAGCAAAATATTGGGATTGGAGAAGAAGGTGTTAGGCCATCTATTGAAACAGGAGATCAGTTGACTGGTATTCATGATGTTCTTAATGATGTATTTGTTCAACCATTAACGGAAGAAGGTATTGGGCCGTCTACTGAGCCCCTTTCTAGGGAAGGGCGTCCGAAAAAGGTCGAGACTTTTTTTAAGTTGCTTGAAGAGGCAGATCAGGATTTGTGGCCAGGTTGTAAGGAATTTAAAAAATTGGAGGCAGTTGTAAGATTGTATCAGATTAAGTGTTTAGCAAGAATGCCGGACGGGATCTTCACCACGTTACTCGAGTTAATTAAAAAAATGTTGCCTGATGGAGATTGTTTGCCTGAATCTTGTTATAAGGCAAAAAAACTTATAAATGACTTGGGTCTTACGTATGTGAAGATTGATGCGTGTCCCAATAATTGCATGATTTATTGGAAAGAAACTGCAGAGTTGACCGCATGCTCAGTTTGTGGTGAATCAAGATATAAAAATGTCAATGAAGAGGATGGCTCTAGAAAAAAAATCGCAGCTAAGGTTATGTGGTATTTTCCTTTAAAACCACGATTGCAACGGTTGTATATGTCGAAGCATACAGCTGAGCATATGAGGTGGCACGCAACTGAATGTCCTAAGGATGGGTTTATGAGACATCCTTCAGATTCTCCAGCATGGAAGCATTTGGATAATTTATATCCGGAGTTTGGATCAGAAATTCGAAATGTTTGATTGGGGTTGGCCAGTGATGGATTTAATCCTTTTGGAAAAATGAGGCAAGACCATAGCACATGGCCTGTGGTGCTTTCAGTTTACAATTTACCTCCCTGGATGTGTATGAAGCAACCGAATTTGTTGTTGTCTCTGTTAATACCAGGACCACGCAGCCCCGGTAAAGAGATTGATGTGTACATGCGTCCATTGATTGATGAGTTGAATGAGTTGTGGGAGGTGGGCACTCCTACTTATGATGCGTATTCCAACCAAAATTTTACGATGAAGGCTGCTGTCTTATGGACTATAAGTGATTTTCCGGCTTATAGAATGTTATCAGGATGGAGTACACATGGATATAAAGCATGTCCACATTGCATGCATGATAAAGAATCTATTTACTTGCCGGCGAGTCGTAAGATTTGCTATTTAGGGCATCAACGCTTTCTTCCTGCTGATCATAGGTTTCGAAGGCAAACCACAACTTTTAATGGTCGACGAGAGCATCGTAGTGCACCAAGGCAGTGGACTGGTTTACAATGTCTTGAAGAACTTTGTACTTTGAGATTTACTTTTGGAAAACCAAAGAAACATACTTCAGTTGGGCAACGTAGAAAACGAACTGAGAGCAGTACAAGTAGTAAGAGTCAGTGGAAGAAGAAATCTATTTTTTATGAACTACCTTATTGGAGGCATCTGTTGATTAGACACAATCTTGATGTTATGCATATTGAAAAAAATATATGTGACAATATAGTGGGAACATTGTTAGATATGGATAAAAAGTCTAAGGATGGATTGGCTGCACGTGCAGATCTTGAAATCTTGAACATAAGACATGGACAACATCCACGTAGGGAAGGAAATAGAACATTTCGACCTCCAACATTGTTCACGTTGAAAAGAGAAGAAAAAACTGCATTTTGTGAAGTGTTGTCTACTATTCGGGTTCCCGATGGTTATTCATCAAATTTGTCACGATGTATGCATGTGAATGAACGAAAAATACATGGATTGAAAAGCCACGATTGCCATGTTTTAATGCAGCAGTTACTTCCGCTTGCAATACGTGCGGTTTTGCCTAAATCTGTTACTATGATATTATTAGAGTTGAGTGCAATTTTCAGACAATTGTGTAGCAAAAAGGAGTCCGAGGAAGGTTTCAAGCAATTAAATTCAAGAATTGCCTTGACATTATGTCAATTGGAGAAGATATTCCCGCCTGCATTTTTTGATGTAATGATGCACCTCCCAGTTCACTTGGCAGATGAAGCAGCTATTGCAGGGCCTGTTCCATATAGATGGATGTATCCAATTGAACGGTAATTAACAAATCTTTATAAAATTTGTAATTTATAATGATAATTTTATTAGTAATTATAATAATTTGTGTTTTGTATTATAATTATAGGTATTTGCAAACACTGAAGCGTTATGTTCGTAATATGGGTCATCCTGAAGGTTCTATTGCTGAAGCATATTTGGTGGATGAGTGCTTGTCCTTTTGTTCCTTGTATCTTAAAGATGTCGAGTCTCGTCGCACTCGTAGAGGTCGAAATGAAGATGGTATTGGATGTGGAGTATCTGGTGGGTTATCAATTTTTTACTCCAAAGGATGTTATATGGGTTCAGGAGAAAATATGGAGCTTGAGTTAAATGTTCTTGATCAATGCCACAGATACATTCTAAATAATTGTGATGAGGTCAACCCATTTAGAAGGTAAGAACATCTAGTCATACATCTTAATGTTTTATCAATTTTCTTTATTTTGAAAAATTAGTTAAGCATATTTGAACCTAATTGGCAGGGCAACATGAGGAATTCTTGAAAAATTAACATTGTCGAGCAAGGCTGACATTCGACAAATCAAGGAACTAAGCAAGAAGGAATTTCCATAATGGTTCAGGCAACATGTGAG